TCCTCCTGGCACAACAGTGTACACCACGCCTATGAAGTCAGTTGGGCCAGATTTTAAAACCAAGGAATATATCTGGGCCAGATATTGTTTAGCAGCCAGTAAGCAGCAGATCACCATAAGTTTCAAACCAACACAAATGTATTGAAAAAAAGTTGTTTATTATTTTTTTCTCTTTTAAATCTTGTGACATTTCACACATGCACACAAAAAAACATATAAATGAGCTATAGCTGAAGAGAGCCTGCGCTAGTAGCAATACTAGCAAAATAAAAAATATTTGGACAATTCCCTTTCAAAATAAAGTTCATACTTATGTGACCCAGACACATCTTAAAGTGCATTTAACAGAATTTAAAAAGAACAATCAATCAAAGCTGTCACTGCACAAACCCATAGCAGTAACACATATGAACACAACTGAGGGAATACAGGTTGGCTTTAAATCAACAGTATACAAGTTACAGTAACCTGACATTTTTTCTGAACAAGAGCTGCAACGTTTGGCTCGTAAGTGTCAGTGCACCTTTGAAGGCAATAGTGAAGCGTGTTGTCAGTCAGTGAGCAACGAGAGCTGCTTTTTGTTGCATTCATGTGCGAAAAGCTTGATTCACATGTGTACATCAACCCAAACATACTGAAGATTACGACTGATACCTTCTTAATGTTAGGGAACTGGTGTGTATTGACATCGGTCCAAAGATCCATTGGTGCAAACGTCTTCTTCCCCTCGTCAGTGGAAGGGATCACTTCCTTAAGTCCCCTTCTGTTAAAACACTAAATGGGTCTCTGGCAAAACTCATCACCTTTGTGCGTAAAGTCCATCCAATCGACCAGAAAACTTCTCTTTCAAAGGTTCAGCCTGGCTTGGAGTGCACGCATCTGTTCCACGAGCTCGGTGTCAGTTTGGCCTCTGCCTTGTAGTCACACATTAAGTCATTCATGTTTTGAATATGTTGCTCAGAAAGCAGACACTGGCCATAAAGCTGTTCTCCTCGTGCAATTCAAATGTGTTTCTGCTTTTTGTTTGCCTGCTGTTGCAGAGGAAAGTTGTGATCTCCTCTTTGAGATCACAGAAATGCTCCGGTGCCCTGCCTTTGGACAGCCCCCTGACATCATGGTGCAATAACAGGTCATGGTGCTCAGCACACATTTCTGAGAGCAGCATGTGGAACAAGCAGTGCTGGAGGCTTTAATTACTTGTAGCCATCACACTGTCCATTGTTGTTTTGAGCTCCGTGCTTAGCTTTGCACACAACACCATCTGCTGCAATAAAGGTTTGAGGTGCAACAGCCAAACCGCTCACTTTTCCTGCCATGGATGAAGCCCCGTCTGTCACAAGGTGGCTGTAGCTCAGGTGGTAGAGTGGGTCATCTACTCACTGGAAGGGTGGTGGTTCGATCCCAGGCTACAGCCTACATACCAAATATCCTTGGGCAAGATATTAACCCCATGTTGCCCTCCGATGCATCCATCGGAGTGATAGAAGCACTAAAACCTTAGATAAAGTGCTTGTGTGAATGGGTAAAGCGCTTTGAGTGCTCAGTGAGAGTGGAAAAGCGCTTTATAAAAACCAGCCCATTTACAAGCATACAGACATGCTGTCTTCAACAAAAGCTGAAATCTTCTCAAAGATTATCTCACCAGTTGTGTGGTTTATTTGTGTTACTCTGCGTTTCTGCCACAGGCAGGGCCCGTCGGAGGCTGTGGCCCTTTGAACAGGTTTGGTGTACACTATATTACTCTGTTTGAGCTGTGGGACCAGATCGTTGGGGCGGACCAATTGTTGGCGCAGTATGTTTCGGGGTTTGAAAGCCACAGAGACACAGTGTTTAGAACATGGGTCTCAAACTTGCGGCCCGGGGGCCACTTGCGGCCCACGTCACCCCTACTTCTGGCCCATATATTGACATGAAGAAATATAACGCAATTTGTCTCTTGAAGTTACTTTTTTGTTAGGGAGGATTTGTTTGTTGTTCAGTGCAAAGTTAAACTAAGTTCTTTAAAATGCAAAAAATTTATTTAATATGAAAGCAATGCGAGCAGAGAGTACAAACGTACGTCTGCATTTTTATTTTGTTAAATATGAACAAAGTTATAGAATAGAATAGAATAGAATAGATCTTTATTGTCACTGTTACAAGAACAATGAAACACATTGTATGCATGTAGATTTGCATTCAGATTCTTTTAGTAAAGGAGAAGAAGATAAAATAGATTTTAGTGCAATAAGGAGCAAATGATAGCAGAAGTGCTGCCACGTCTCCTGGCCAGAGAGAGAGCACCAGTGTGTTTATCTGGTAGTTCAATGAAAGGCTTCGGTTAGTTAA